GCAGGACCCTCAGCACCTCCAGCACCTCCAGCACCTCCAGCACCTCCAGCAGCAATCCCGCCAGCCCCAGCAGCTCCAGTACCCCCAGTACGAGCACCTCCGGGACCAGCGACACCAGCAGAAGAACCCCCAGCAGTAGAGCCCAGAGGTGCAGAAGTGCGACGCTGACGGCGACCGTACCAGTCGTGCAGCTGTTGGGAGGTAAGGGGCACACGCGAACAAAGACGACTGCTCCAGGGAGACCGCGTAACAGCAGTCTCAGAACCCTCAGGCGACTCACCCCCAGACTCAGCACCCCCAGGCTCCGCACACGCAGGCTCAGCACCCCCAGACGCAGCACCTCCAGACGGAGCACCCCCAGACGCAGCACCTCCAGGCTCCACACGCTCAGCGCCCCCAGACTCAGCACCCCCAAGCTCCGCACCCCCAGGGACATCACCACTAGCAGCAGGACCTGAGTCACCAGTGACCTCAACAGGCGCAGGCGCGGGGGGGTCTACCTGAGACACACCTGAAGGAGCAGGACCTGGCGCGGGGAGGGGGTCTACCTGGGGAGGACCTGGGGCAAGAAAGAGCGGCGGGGGGGGTGAGGAGCAGTGCGGTAGGGGAAGAGGCGGTAAAAGGGGACCGACTCGTCAAAGATGACGTCCTGAGATGCAAAGACACGGCGCGAGGCGGGGTCGTAAAACTGCCAGCCAGGCGCGTCAGGGACAAAGCCAAGGAAGACACAAGGAATGGCGCGAGGGGAGAGCTTGTCCGCAGCGGTATCGCGGACAAAGGCACGAGCACCCCAGACTCGAAAACGCGACGCGTCGCCAACCTTCCCCGTCCACAGCAGTGTGGGCGAGGTCTCCGGCAAGGAGACACGGGGCCAAAGGTTGAGCTGATGCGCGGCGTACCTGACCGCAAACGGCCACAGAAAATGGGGGGCAGCCGCATGGATCATGGAGGTACGAGCGACCTCCATGACTAAGCCAATGCGGCGCTCAGCAACCCCATTCTGCTGCGGAGAGGCCGGAAGCGTGAAAGTCTGGCGGATGCCGTGCTCCGCACAGAAGGCTGCCAAGAGGTCTGAGGAGAACTCACCACCTCGGTCAGAGTGCAGACGCAAGACAGGAAAGTCCGTCTGGAACCGCTCGCGGAGCTGGAGACGAGTAGCGTGGATCCAGGGGATCAGAACAGCAGGGACATCCCCCTTGCGCTGCAAGGGGAAGATCGTGGTGTAACGCGTGTAGTCGTCGACAACCAGCAGGAAGTACCGCTCGTGGCCCGGTCCACGGACGCGGGCTGGGCCCCACACGTCCAGGTGGAGAGTCTGCAGTGGAGCCTCTGTGGGAGGGAACGAGGAGGAGTGAGGAGCGGCGCGCTGCCGCCCCTCGACGCAAGGAATGCAGGGCGGCGCAGGCGAGGGAGGGAGGGGAGGCAGAGACCTGGGAAGACCAGAAACAAGGAAGCGAGAATGCATGCTACGAAGGCGAGGCAGGGAGGGGTGACCAAGGCGGTGGTGCCACAGGAGAGTGTCGTGCGACAGCCGGCGACACTCACACTGTGTAGCAACCTGAGCAGAAGCGTGCAACTGGGGAGACAAAGGGGTGGAGCGCGACGCAGTGGTGAGGGTGTACAGACTGGATCCTGGCGCACGAGTGAACGTGGCCAGGTGGCGACCAGTCTGGGAGCACGTGCAAATCGCCACACGCTGCCGGCCAGGGGTGAAGGTGTCAACCCCCGCATCCTGGAGGACAGCGTTACTCACCAAGTTCGTAGAGAACGAGGGGAGGTGGAGACCAGACAGCTCACCAGACGGGACCGCCGGACACGGAAGCACAGTGGAAGACCGTGCAAGCACTGGGCCCCCAGAGGGGTCAGCCAGTGAGACAGGAACAGGTGCAGGGAGGGGAGTGACTGTGGTACTGTCGCGAAAGAAACAGCGGGAAGCACCAGATTCAAGTGTAAAGGTGTGCAAGGCCTGTGCAGGCGCAGTACCAGGGGGAGCAGACTCACAAGCACCAAGTGCTGCAGGGGCTATACCAGGGACTATACCAGGAGCCGGCGGCACACACAAGTAGCAGTCAGCCTCAGCACTAACAGACAATGCATACATAGCAGCAAGAATTGCCTCATAGTCAAGATCAAAGATAGGGACATCGCGCCTAAGCAAGTCTGCCCAGTTGGGGAACTCAGGAGCATCAGGAAACTTGGCACGCCAGGCGTCGCTAAGTCGAGCGAAGCAGCGCTGCTCAATGTGAAAACCTGTGCACTGGCGACCAGTGCGGGGACTAGTACGGATAATATAGGGGCAGCGACCAGGACCCCCAGAAACCCCACGCCTGGCATACCAATCAAGAAGCTGCTGGGAAGTGGGGGTCTGGCGCTGACGCTGCTGCTGCTGGTGCTGCTGCTGCTGCTGCGGCTGCTGCTGGCCCTGACCACCACTGCCACCACCGCTCCCTCCTCCCCCACCGCCGCTGCTCCCCCTTGCACCGCTCACAGTGCCTCCGCCGCCCCCACCACCACCTCCACCACCTCCACCCCCACTACCACCCCCACCACCTCCACCTTCCTTGCCACCTGCACCACCGCCACCTCCACCGCCACCCCCACCGCCCCTGCCACCCCTGCCGCCCCTGCCGCTGCGACGCTTCCCTCTAGGAGCGGAAGCAGCTCCGACCTCCTCAGCACCAAGGTAGTCGTGAGCAGCAGCTGCGGATGCGTAGGAGGGGGTGAGAGGGGAGGGGGAGCACCCCTCAAAGAGGGGAGAGCGGGGAGTGCCACGAGCAGCACCTACAGCGAGGATGTTCTTCTCTGCTGCGAGGAGGTGCTTCTCGAAGTCGTCGACAGTGAGAGTGGTGGGGTCTAGCGCTAGGAAGTGGTCCCTGACAGAGCTAAGAGTGTCAGGGAGGCGGGTGACGAGGAAATAGAGAGTGAAGTACATCGGGGGGGGGTTTGCGGCGCAGAACTCGGCTGAAAGAGCGGCACGAAAGCGAGAGTCAGTAGCACGTAGGTGAGAAACTAGGTCCTCAGCAGTGGTGAACGAGGAAAGATCGGGGAACAGGTACGGTAGCATGAGTCGACCTATGGCTGCAGTGGCCGGGGAGGAGTAGCGCGCAACTACAGCGTCGTACAGTGTCTTAGCAGTTCTGTGCTGGCTGAAGTGCGCTCGCTCAGTAATCGGCAGGTGGTTCCTAATAGCTAGGCGTGCAGCAGCATCACGAGTCTGCCACTGGGAGCGTTCTAGAGCAGGAGCATCAGCAGCAGGAGTAACGGCAGTGCCAGAGACGTAATCAAACAGGGAAACGCCCTCTTTGGCATCAGTCAGAAGGAACAGCTGGAGATCGTCTAACCACACAGCGAACTCGAGGGGACGACCGTCAGGCTCGAATGCGAGAACGTTGGGCGTCGCCATATTGGCTTAAGGCAGGAGGCAGCAGGCAGCAGGCAGCAGACAGAGGCAGCAGGCACCAGGTAGGAGGCAGGTGGCAGGCAGGCGGTAGCAGGCAGCAAGCAGGCAGGCTGCAGCAGGCAGTAAGTAGCAGGCAGGCAGCAGGCAGGTGGCAGGCAGGCTGCAGCAGGCAGGCAGCAGGCAGCAAGCAGCAGGCAGGCAGCAGGCAGGCAGCAGGCAGGCTGCAGGCAGGCGGCAGGCAGGCTGCAGCAGGCAGGCAGCAGGTAGCAAGCAGCAGGCAGGCAGCAGGCAGGCAGCAGGCAGGCTGCAGGCAGGTGGCAGGCAGGAGCGGCTGCAGCAGGCAGCAGCAGGCAGCAGCAGCAGGCAGCAGGCAGCAGCAGGCAGCAGCAGGCAGCAGCAGCAGGCAGGCAGCAGGCAGCAAGCAGCAGGCAGGCAGCAGGCAGGCAGCAGGCAGGCTGCAGGCAGGTGGCAGGCAGGAGCGGCTGCAGCAGGCAGCAGCAGGCAGCAGGCAGCAGCAGCAGGCAGCAGCAGCAGGCATGCAGCAGGCAGCAAGTAGCAGGCAGGCAGCAGGCAGGCAGCAGGCAGGCTGCAGGCAGGTGGCAGGCAGGAGCGGCTGCGGGCAGCAGGCAGCAGCAGCAGCAGGCAGCAGGCAGCAGCAGGCAGCAGGCAGCAGCAGCAGGCGGCTTGCTGCGCTAAGCTGCAGGCTGCGCGCGTGGCTGCGGGCAGCGCGCGTGGCGACGAGCTGCGCGCGGCTCCTGGCTGCGCGTGGCGACGGGCTGCGCGCGACTGCGTGGCTGCGCGTGGCGACGGGCCTCGCGCGACTGCGGGCGGCGTGCGGCGGCGGGCTGCTCGGGCGTGGCCTAAACGGGCTGCGCTCGGGCGGCGTAAGTGGCGCGCGGGCGGGGCCTAAACGGGCCGCGCGAGCTGCGGAAGTGGCGCGCGGGCGGGGCCTAAACGGGCCGCGCGAGCTGCGTAAGAGGCATGCGCGGCAAAAAAAAAAGGGGCCGCGCGCGGGCAGCCGAGGCGCGCGCGGGCAGTAGGCAAGGCAGGTGAGGTGGGCCCTAATCCTAGGTCCTAAGGACCTACGCTCTAGATGCCATGTCGAAAGGCATGATTCAACTATCGAGAGTGTTGGTACAAGAGGAAAAATCTAAGGGGTTGTACCCCACAGTGAGTACCCCACTACAGCCTATCTAACTTAAACATATAAACATATGTTTGACATTATAGTCTACGAAGTACCTATTCAGAGATGTGCCGTATATGTTCATGAAATGGGCTAGGTATCGAATCGACTCTACGAAGGGGTATAATTCTGTGTCATGAGAACGGTCGCGAGACTGTTCGCACTACTACCTGTAACTCACGCGAAGAGACACCTGCTACAGTAACACGGATATATAGCAATATTACGATACTAATGTAATTTTAGACTATCGAACTTTTGATTTGTACAAGTCATTTTACTTTTCCCAACACTGGGGGTGTTCTAATTTGGGGGGGTCTTATATCCAGGGGAATACGGTACTCAAACCAACTGAAGAAACATTAGACAGTTCGCTCACTACTTTAAGGCGAACAAAAATGTTTTAACGAGCATCTATTGAACCACGGCCATGATGTCCCCCTCCCGCACGAAGCAGAACCTGTCAGAGCCATCACCAATCGCCACCTGCAAGCATGGGGGCCAGCGATGCACAAACAAGACCACCTCTGAGAAAAAAATGTTGATGGTGCATCCGCCATGAAGCATGCTTCTGAAAAGCGTGTGGATAGTTAGACGTGTTGGAGGATGAAGAGGCAAGGAATGCAATCCAAGTGCGCGTTGGCACCCTTGCAGCGGGCTGGGAGAGTGGGTGGGAGAGAGGCTCACCTCGTATGCATTCATGTCGGGAAACATGACCTGCACACAGCACACACCACAGCACACAGCACCACAGCACACAGCACAGCACACAGCACCACAGCACACAGGCACACAGCACCAAAGCACACACCACCACAGCACACATCCAGAGCACACATGTATGGTCATTCAGTACAGTTGAGTTGGCCAATAGGCCAATAGGCCAATAGGCCGATAGGCCATGATCTAGTCTCGATGTTCAGGCCAGGCAGCTTCAATTCTGATTTGCACAGCCATGGGTGTGTGTGACTAGTGGCCATCGTACAGTGCAGTCTGATTTCAAAGGAGGGACCTGGGAGGTTCTTGTTGATTTCTTGATAGCACGGATCACAGCACATGAAACCACGGCACGGCATGGCACGGCACGGCACGGCACGGCACGGCACGGCACGGCACGGCACGGCACGGCATGGCACAAGCAGCACTGTGAAGAGGCATGGCAATCATGTTGCACTGCTTCGACACTGGCACCCCTGCAAGTGCCTCCCCTTGCACCCACATGCATGCACTCCCGCCGCACCCACATGCACTCCAGCCGCACCCACATGCACTCCAGCCGCACCCACATGCACTCCAGCCGCACCCACATGCACTCCAGCCGCACCCACATGCACTCCAGCCGCACCCACATGCACTCCAGCCGCACCCACATGCACTCCAGCCGCACCCACATGCACTCCAGCCGCACCCACATGCACTCCAGCCGCACCCACATGCACTCCAGCCGCACCCACATGCACTCCAGCCGCACCCACATGCACTCCAGCCGCACCCACATGCACTCCAGCCGCACCCACATGCACTCCAGCCCAGCCCAGCCTCACCCACATCTCTTATCTTTGGTATATCTGCTATTTCCTCATTAAGGAGGCGAGCAAGGAAGGCGCCAAGGAGGGGAGTGAGGGCGGTGAGTAAGGGAGGAGCGTGGTAGGGGTTGAAGGCACGGCCTCGTCTGACTCACCTTCTGCCCTGCTGATGCCTTCTTCACCTCCTCCCCCGTTGATACTACCTGCGCCAGCATCGTGTCAACCCACCCCCCGCCCCCCCCCCCCCCCCACACACACCCACACCCATACCCACACACACACGGACACCACACACACGGGGCGTGCACACATAATTGCACAAGGTCAGGCATAACAGAAGCAAGTGAGAGGTTGAGACATGAGATAAACACGAGGGAGCAATGGAGGGCAGCAGTGGAGGGCAGCAGTGGAGGGCAGCAGTGGAGGGCAGCAGTGGAGGGCAGCAGTGGAGGGCAGCAGTGGAGGGCAGCAGTGGAGGGCAGGGCAGCAGTGCAGTGCAGGGCAGCAGTGCAGGGCAGCAGTGGAGGGCAGCAGTGGAGGTAGAGCCTTACCTGCCCGGTAAGGTATCGCTCGTACTTGACAGCCTGCGTGGGCAGCAGCACGCCCCCCGCTGACTTCTGCGCACGCAGGCGCGCACAGATGAGCACAGACAGATGGGCAGAGACAGATGGGCACAGACAGAGGGGCACAGACAGAGGGGCACAGACAGAGGGGCACAGACAGAGGGGCACAGACAGATGGGCACAGACAGAGGGGCACAGACAGAGGGGCACAGACAGAGGGGCACAGACAGATGGGCACAGACAGAGGGGCACAGACAGATGGGCACAGACAGATGGGCACAGACAGAGGGGCACAGACAGAGGGGCACAGACAGAGGGGCACAGAGGGGCACAGAGGGGCACAGATGCGCAAAGAGGGGCATGCGGCAGATAGTGTGAATGGAAGGAGCACTCAGTGCGAGGGCGATGGGAAGTATTGAGAGAACGTGGGTGGAGAGAGGAAGAGGAGAGGAGGGAGAGACGGTGGAGCATGGAGGTGATAGAGACGGTGGAGCATGGAGGTGATAGAGATGGAACGAGGTGACAAGCGAGAGTGATGTCTCAGGTGGAAATGTATCAGGTGGGCAGGTGTAAACCTGAAAGTTAATCGCACGGTATTCGATTTGTATTCGATACTCGGATCAAATATAAAAAACAAATCAAATCGAGCAGCCATTCCTTATTCGACATGGGAGCATGGGAGCATGGGAGCATGGGGGCAGCACTCACCTGCTCGGGCTCATCCAGCTTCACCAGCAATCGCTCGCCTCGTGGCTGAACCTGCACGGACGGAGAGGACGGGAGAAAGGCGGAATCAGACGGAGACAAGGGGAAATCAGAAGGAGCAAGTGGGGAACCAGAGGGAGCAAGTGGGGAACCAGAGGGAGCAAGTGGGGAATCAGAGGGAGCAAGTGGGGAATCAGAGGGAGCAAGTGGGGAATCAGAGGGAGCAAGTGGGGAATCAGAGGGGAGCAAGCAGGGAGCAGAGATGGCGGCTGGTGGATCCGTTTCGTGTTGTGCTGCTGGCGGGCGAGCTGCTGGCGGGCGACGGGCGTGCAGCAGCCGGCCATCGTTGCCGCCTCCTACGCATCATGCCGCAGCAACTCGCACTGCATTAGCTTGCTGCGACTGTGGTGTTACCATGTTACCAGACGAGCGTTCACGTCGCGAGGACGACTTCACTGCGCCTCGTGCGGGTGCGCGGTGCAGTGCAGTTACCAGACAACCCGCAACTGCACTGCACCGCGCCCATTCTCCCACTCACTTGCCCCAACCCGCAACTGCACTGCACCGCGCCCATTCTCCCACTCACTTGCCCCAACCCTCCCTGCCACCGCCCCTCCCCGCCACCACTCCTCCCTGCCTCACGGCCTCACCCGCTTGTCGCTCAGCGCCTGCGCGATCTCCGCCGCGTTCATCGCCGCCCGCGCGCCGACCACCGCCGCCGCCGCCGCCGCCGACGACGACGACGACCGCGACGAGCATTTTCTAGAACGAGATACCAACGGGGAGGAGAGGCTGTGGGTGCTGACAAGGCAGGTGCGCGCATTGGTGAGATTGGAGCGCGTGGTAGCCTGCAACGCGACGAGGCGAGCGGTGGGACGGAGGGATGGTGAGAACCAGGGGAGCAACGAAGAGAGCATGAATCATCTCTGGACCTACTCGCCTGTGCACCTGTGCACGTGCGCGAGGCGAATACCGACGCAAGCGCACAGCGAGGGAGGGTTTAAGGACAATTAGAGAGAATGACGGGGGAAGAGAGGGGGGTTGAAGGGGCAACGGAAAGCGCCGGAGGGGAGCTTGACGAAGAGCGAGCGGTGGTGGGCGAGCATACGAGCGGACGACGCGTGCGAGCACGGCACACGGCACAGGCGCGTGGGAAGCGAGGGCGAACTCGGCGTGAGAGAGGCATGCTCGTGGGGTGAGGGAGCGGAGAGGAAAAGAGGGCTCACCGCGCACGCGGATCGGTGGATGCAGGGGAGCGACACGGACGCCATGAGTGCAGTAGGGGGCTGACGGGCCGAGTAGCGACCGATCAAGTGCTGATGTTGGAGGCCTGGGAAAGCGCGAGGGGGAGACACACAGAATTATGAAAGCAGAGTTGAAGAGGTAAATCAAGGGCGAGGCAGGGCTGGTTTCGCTACCACTGTCGCCCAAACTGCGAGGCGAATGGGCCAAGGCTTCGCGAAACTCCTACTCCGCGGAGTTCGGTTGGTCACCACGTGCTGGTGGGTTCTGATCTGACGTGGCCTGCTCACCTCTCAGAGCGGCCAGTCTGGATTGTTCCTCCGAAACATACGCCACGCTAGCAGCTCCGAGTTCATTCAGGGTGAACTGTCGATTGTCGTACTAGTTATTAAAAAGAGTGCCCTGAAATAACAAATAGCGCTGGTTGAGAAAACGAAAAGCCGAAGGCGATACGAGCTAGCCTCAGAGTCGAGTACCTTAATCTCCCGGATATAGACCCTTGGTTCTTATGGAAAATTCGCTGAAAATACGAGGGGGGGTCTTGTAAAAGGCTAAAGATTCTATAGTACATGGGTCCTATGTGTTGGAATTGGAAACAAGTAATTTAGCGCTTCTGAAGTAATCGAAGTATCGACACGAAACGGAGCAGACTACGGGGAAACAACACGCGAGTCAACAACCGTAACAGCTGGAGGTTACGCGAAGGTCAAAGGTCACTAGCCTTTGACCTGACGAAAAATACAGTGCGACAGCAAGGACACATAAGTGACTCGATACTGAGCAGTTACCCGAGTCGACACTGTATCGAACCGCAACAGCAAAAACAGTTAAAGTAGAACTTTTCATATTCCTTTGTAATCATATAAAAGCCTTGTATTTCTCTGCTACTATCAACTTATCTTGTTCTCACATACCAATGCAAGGTGGTTCAAGTACATCTTTATTAAAACGCTTCCGCAAGCAACATTCCTACTTCAACAAGATCTTAGCCTTGAAAGATCCTAAGGGCTATTTCTCAGCCCAACATGGTATGAGAGCAAACAAGGCAAGATCGATTTCTCAAATATGTACGACAACACAAGACATGGCAACACAGAAGGAGAGGAGCTCCTCCAACGGATCTCTCGGCACTACTCCTACTCCACCTCCAGCCTCTAGCCTACAAACAGAGGAAGGCACAGTAACAAGACCAGCTGCGGAGTCGACCGTTACTCCCGGGAATCAAGCAGCAGGCTTTGACCCAAGCATGATGGAGAAGTTCTTCTCCTTCATGTCCTTCTACGAGCAACACCAGCAAGCAACTCCTGCGCAATCAAACAACAGCGACAACAACAACAGAGCTACTCCGATGAGCCTCGACGGTTCATCCTATGCGCACGGAAATCAACAGCAACCCACCTTTGCTCCGTACGAACCTCAACGTGGCTCCATCAGCTTTGCGCCACACCAACAATCTTCACCTGGACAAGAGAAGACATTGGACGCGCTTCAGGTGCAATCGCAATTCGCACATGTTCTAAAACTGCAGACATCAACACCTTTCGACGGAAAAGACCTCTATACCTGGTCATTCGAGTTCGAGCTGATGATGGAGGGCGCGCAAATACTTGGATTCTTCGACGGATCCCTGCCATACCCAGCGCATGGAACACAATACGACAAGCAGCAGTATAAATATCAGTCGCTGATGGCGTACACAATTCTTCTTCGAAACATAACACCGAACGAGCAGCAGAACATTCGGTCTTATCGAGGATATGGCAACTCCGCCGAGCTGGCATACGACCATCTGAAGAACCTGTATCAAGCAACAGACAGTGTTAACCAAACTCGTCTCATGGCACAGCTGACAACAGTGGAAACGAAACCCGGCGAAAAGGGAATGGCATATATCAGCCGCTGTCGTGGACTGCGCGACAGACTCCTTCGATGCGGAGGATCAATATCCGAAGAAGCCTTCGTAACGGTCATCATCGCTGGCCTCGGTCCTCATTGGCGCTCCACTCGAGCACTCCTTCGAGCTCACGGGAAAATCTCCGAAGCAGCACTCTGCGCCGAAATTCACGCTGAAGAGCAGGATATGGACCTGCACGAAGAACGACACAAGAAGAAAAAGTCAGCACCAGAATTCGCGTTTCACACTCAACGACGCTACAACAACAACAACAATCGACAAAACAACCGTCAGATACAACAATACGTCCCACCGTTCTGTCACCTCTGCAAGACGTCCGGACATCCTCGCACACACTGCCCGAATCAGCAGCAGTCGACGTCGCCGAAACGTCAACTTCGGCCCTCAAGCAGTCAAGTAGCTTCTACGCAGGCGCATCCCACCAATCAAGTACAGTCTTCAACGTATTCAACGACAAAACCTGCACAAGGAACAAGAAACATCGTGAGCTGCATGACAAGAACGACAGACTGTTGCATCACCGGATCACCACCGTTCTACTCACCAGAAGAACAAATCGACGAGCGCACTCCTCGCCGTGAATCACTGCAGCCCAACCCGACGTATGCAGCCATCGCTCAAAGCGAGCCGTCCGGGAAAGACACTTGGTTCTTGGACAGTTGCTGCGGACAGCACATGTGCTCCTCGGGTCGCTTCGTTCAACAGGAACATCAACTTTAGCGCGAAGTTGTAATCACCGTCGCCAACAACCAGAACCTGCACACACGACGACAAGAGATCGTACAACTTCAGTCTCGAGAAACTAACGTCATTCTACAAATGTCAAAGGTTTTGATTGCAGAAGGACTCGGCTACAACTTACTCAGCGTCAGTCAACTGATGGCAAAGGGCATTCATGTCGAAGCAGACAGCACCACTCAGGAGTTCAAGTTATTCCACGGAAAGGGCGGACTCTACATCGGCAAGGCAATCTTGAAAAATAACGTATTCGTTCTTGACTTCGTTCCGGACCAAGGTACCGCCGACAGCGACGCCATCGTCAACTTCGCTTCTTGGACACATCCACCCGATCTCGATCCCGATTTCAGTCCTGGAGGATTTTGGTATTCACATACCATACCTGAAGCAGAAAGAACAAGGGCATTAGCAATAATCCGGCAAGAAGAGATACCATCGACAGCAGCGGAGACAACATCGGCAGCAGCAGCAACACCTACGGCACCAATCGCAACCTCTTCAACAGCACCAGCTCTCATCGACGACACTCCACCGACTCCTGCGCAGCAGTTAACTCCCACTCCACGTGAAGTTCACAGAAGCGCCAACCTCACCGCGGGTTTTTACTCCAACTCTGACCTGTACAGGCGCTCACCCGGACATCGTGCGAGCGAATCACTCTGGCACGAAAGACTGGGTCATCCAAGCAACACAACGTTAAATAACACGATCAAGGCAGCAGTACTCGACAAAGATTCTTTACTTCTACCAGACGGCAGAGAACTTCAATGAGTCCGAGGAACCTGTTTTACTTGCCCCGAATCCGACTTACCTCATCAACCATTTGTCTCTCACCACAATCCAAGCGCGCCAGCCTACGCACCACTCGAGAAAGTATACAGCGACATCCTGTATACTCACGAACAAGGACAGGGAGCATATAACTATGTTATTACTTTCATCGACGCCGCCACCCGATATGTCTGGCACCTCAACCTCCCATGTCGCGACATGGCCTTCGAAGCCTTCGTCGCTTGGCTACCCGTGGCAGAACAAGAATCAGGAGCAAAGCTAAAAAGCTTCCAGTCAAAGGAGAGGGGAACATCAGTCACAAAGGTTCAGGCAGTATGTCGCAGAACGAGGCATCAAGCGACTGATCTCGCTTCCCTACACCCATCAACAGCAAGGCGTGGCAGAACGGATGAACAGGATTCTCCAGAACACCATGCGCAAATTGTTGCGTGGCATGCGACTGCCCAACCACCAGTGGCCTGAGGCGATGGACCACGCTGTCATGCTGCACAATTTTCTCTCGTCATCATCACTCCCGAACAACGCATCACCCCACCTGCTGTGGACAGGAAAACTGGGCAACACAAAAATGTTACGAGTTTTCGGGTGCATGGTACAGTACCGACCGCACACTGCAAGAGCCGGAAGATTTTCCCAATGCGCACAGTGGGGGCTACACCTGGGCATCGAAAAGCATTACAACGCATGGAAGATTTTTGACATCCACTCGAAGGAAATAGTAGCAGCACGTGATGTCATTTTCTACGAGCGAATCACACTTCAAACATACCTGCACAACCTGGTAGCAAATCGCGACCTCACGGGCGGCTTCCGTGGCAACCGAGCTTTCGCTTCAGCAGCAGACGAAGCTGACTGGGACGAGCAGAACGTGCACGGCGCATCTGAGGAAGTAGGACCACTCCCATACAGCTCCGTGCCCATCTCCATGGACGACGACAATCCTCGCGAAAGTGTCAACGCCGAAACCTACTTCGACTTCGCCGACACTGGTTACGTTACACCCCAACCGGCTGACACCAACGTCTACGAACGCATAGGACCCAATTTCCTACTGGATCCAGAAGTGGGAGATGAAGCAGCTTATCCCGAGGATGCAAATCTCCCCCGCTACACACAGAGTGGACTGCAGATACTGGGACTCATCACCGCCGTCCACGGAGCAGCACCGCCTAAGGAGCCTGCCAACATTCAGCAGGCTCTGGGGGGGGAACACAGGGAAAAATGGTGCGAAGCCATGGACAGAGAGTTAAAGGCGCTCCAAGAACGCAACACCTGGAAAGTCGTGCTTATCGGAGTGGCACGCAACAAGACCATTCTCACGGGAAAATGGGTTTTCCGCGTGAAAACAAAAGCCGACGGAACAATCAACAAATTCAAGGCACGCTGGGTCGTGCGTGGCTTCAACTAAGAGCAAGGACGAGACTTCACGGAAACATTTGCACCAGTTAGCCGACATACCTCACTGCGGATTCTCCTCGCGATAGCAGCCATGAACCGGAAGAAACTTCGACAAATCGATGTCGCCAACGCATTCCTCTACGCCCCTGTCGATGCTGAGATCTTCGTTGAACTCCCGCACGGGTCTAACGCAGACCCCAACCAAGTCTGTCAGCTAGAAAAGTCGCTTTACGGCATCAAACAAG